GCATTGCTAACATTTCATGTGTCAAAGTGAGTCAACTCGATTCATACAAGTAAGTTTGTCACTAATGTTAAAAATCAATCATTTCAATTTAACTATTTTTTTATGAACAAAATATTTTACAACCTAATTTTACTCACCATGAATTAGTGAATTCAGTGGGTTGACTCACTTAAATATATATCTTTTTAATTATTTTTTATCTTTCTAAATTACTAAAATAAATGAGTTATTTGATAAATCTAACATCATTTATAAACACGATAATGATGTAGTATATAAATGAGTACAATTCTCAGTTTATTAAGTTAGTTTTGTAAGATTGAGTTAAGTATTTCACCACTTAAATAGTATCAAAGTCAAATTTAGAATTATTGAAATAATAATCATTAATAGTAATGGATTTAAGCTGTCAGTTATTGGAATAATAACAGTTAATAATTGTAGATTTAACCACTTATTAATTGACCAATACTTGAACCATTCATCCTTAATACGAGGGGAGTATATTGATAAATCTCACTATTATAATATATAAGTGAGTATAATTTTTATCTTACTAAGTTGATTTTGTAGGATCAAATAAAGTATTTCACCATTTTTAAAAGGTTAGATGAGTTAACTAACTAAAATACTTGGGTTAAGTGGAATGAATCATTCAAATATTTTATTCTTCATGAATATACACTAACACAAGGATATGAAAAATTAGAATATTAAAAATAAAATAAAAAACATATTAATTTACCACCAATCCCACTCAAACTTATTTAAACTATAGGTTAAAGCCGGACTCGTTTTAACTCACTATTAAAATTTTTTAATTTTTATAACCTAATTCAACTTGAACTTGTAATGAACCCGAATACCACACACACTCAATAAATATGACTCAAATTGACATTTCTAACAAGTACGTAAATCAATGGAATAAAATATAAAATGAGTTCAACAATATAAAATAAAAAACTTTCATAATTAAAAATGGGTGTATAATACAGGTTGAAAGAAATAAAATTTCTTACTTAGAATATAATATATTTGAAAGAACAATATTTTAAAAATAAGAGATATTAAAAATATTATTTTAGCAAAGTATTTAATATGATAAAAATAACTGTAATCAGTAAAAAGGTTAGAAGTTAACTAAAAATGTTTGGCAAACATACTTTATTTTAAAAAAATGTAATAAAATCATGGAGTAATTACTGTTAAATTCCCAAAATAAAACTTAATCCGATCTTTGAAAAGAATTAAAACAATTTAATGAATGTCAATTTTATTTTTTAATTTGTTAACTTTGCTAGAATGGTAGAATATTAGTTTACTTAGATATTTGAAAAAAAAATATTAATGTAGGATGTTCTAAGTATATTGTCCATTAAATAATGATATTTAATATTTAATAGATGTTTAGACTTTATGTAGTTATTTTGAAAGTCGGGATTCGAACAATGAAAGTATTATTTAGGTTTGTTTAATTCAATTTAAAAATAATAAAAAATATTTTAAAAAATAAATGAGAGAAAATATTGTTTGATAACTTTAATTATAAAAACACAATATTTTATTATTAAGGAAAACATTTTATTCATTTTAAAATTTAATTTAAAAAAAATATATATTTTTTAAACTATTTTAATGAAACAGTGATGAAACAAATTTTTTATTTTTGAAAATTAAAACTATTTTTAAAAATCATAAACAAGCAAGCTCTTATTATTTTATTTTGAGTAAATTATCCTTAATAAATAATTATGAAGAAAATTATCATTACTGCTATTATTTCTTTTATATAATGAAGAGTAATTGATATATTTTTTAATATTGTAAAATTCTATGTATTTAAAGAAATTAACATTTATTTTCTTCTATTAAAATCCCTTTATCCATGTAAAAATTAAAACATCATTACAATCAAAATATAGATTATATAATTAAAAAAAAAATATTCAATATTATTATCTATCCTTAAGCTAGTAAGAGAATTATCGAGTATAATTCATATAAAATTAAAATTATTTCTTCTTTTGAATATTTTCCAATCTGGTTCTTTTAAATGATATATAGGATTAACTTTTATTGCATCGAAAGAAATTAAAAAATTATATATATATATATATATATATATATATATATATATATATATTCGTAATTTTTTATATTGGAGTATTTTATTTTTATTTTAAATTAATTTTATCTTACTGTAATTTTTTATAATATCAATTAATTTAAATACTTTTTTATTTTTAACTATCAAATTTTGTATAGTGTGTACTTAAGTTTTAAAAAATAGAAAATATTATATATTTTTGAAATAATTTGTGACATTTGAAACTTTATCTTTGAACTTTCTATATAGTTTTTTTTTTATCCCAGACTCCTTATTAAGATTTTTTTACCTTATATATGATTTTATTATCATACTATAACCAATACAACAAAAATATAGTATCTATTGAAGTATATTATTACTATTTTTATTTAAGATTATTGCAAAATTAAAATAAAACATCAATATTAAAATGTTCAGTGTGAAAAATATAGTAATTTATACTAAAAGCATAAAATCAAAACAATTAATATTTAACTAATATATATTAATTGAAACTAAAAATTGTTTGAAATAATTAAGTTAACTAAAAATTATAAATTTGAAAAAATTTAAAATACTCAAAACTATACTTTATCGATATAATTAAATTAAATTAATATAGAAATATCATAAATCTATCATTTAACGTTCATAAAATATTTTAATTGATAATTTTATCAAACTCTTACAATTAAATAAATAAAGTTAATAACTTTTATTTTTTTTAGCTACTATTTAAATTCTTAACTTTAATTATTATTATTATTTTTCATCTAGCGTGTTTACACTTAACTTTTAAAACTAGTTGGTAAGTAAACGTCCATAGTTGAAAGATACAAATGGTTAAATTAATTTATTGAATGGAAATATTTGAAAATTATACAATAATTATAAATGCCTTAAATAAACTTAATTATATGTATTTTTATAAAAGTTTTAAATTTATTTAATTGTTTATTGTAGTTTTGAGATGATTATTATCTAATTTAAATTTGTTAACTTGCTTGAAAAGGAATAATATTAATTTAATTACACATTTTAATGAAATACTAATTTAGTTTGTTGTAATTATATTTTTCTATAATAATTAATGTGAATTAATAATTTTTTATTTTTTATATAATTTATTGAATATGCATCAGAAGCAGTGCTCAGAAAATTAAAAGATTATTAATTACTTTTTAATTTTGTGTGAAAATTTCCTTTGTTGACAGATATTTTAATGTAAATAATAAATTATTGTGCTCATTTAAGTTAAATAATAATTATTTATTTCATAAATAAAACTTATACTTTCTACCTTCCATTTTACCAGTCACAGTTTTTCTCATGTATTAAAGAGGTAATAAATATTCTTAATTTTATTAAAAGTTTGTATTAATTTCCCGTTATATCCTTTATCTCTTATTTATTAATTTAAACCATATTTATGAATTATGAAAAATATAAAAACTGTAACAGATAAAGAAGAATAACATGAATATATTTTATGATTATTGTAAAGTAATATAATTAAAAAAAGGAATTAATATTTATTTTTTCCTTCAAATCCACCCACCCAATTACAGTTTAATTAACATATGAAAAAAAATTAAATGCATTAAATGAATATTATCAATTCTAAAACCAGCAAAGGAAACAGCTAGACATAATTCATAAAGAATTAAAAATGTTTCCTCTTTTGATTATTTTGAAAGAGAGCATAAAAAGTGTTTTAGATGGAAAAGAAATGAGGATTATGAAACATTAATTGGACAGTAAAAAGAATTAACTCGCTGTTGGTGAATGCATTTTGGTGTAGCCTCATACATGCACAACAAAAGGACAAAGGAAAATGGACCCAACAAGTTTCTCATATTCACAATTTTTTAAAAGTATAAATTTCCGTGATGATTTTGTTTCCATATGAGTGAATTAAGCTAAATTAGTCAAATTATTGAGAGTTCCAATATCAGTTTATAGGAAACACTGAGAAGAGGGTGCCCCGTGCATCTTAGCAACACTATCATAAGTAACTTTTCATTTTCTTTCATATCCCCAAAAAGTTATTCAAAAGGTATATTGCAAATTTCACAGCTATTCACAGGCTTTTAAAGGGTTAAAGTGGAAAGAGATATATAGAGAGAGTTTTTGTGTGTGATCACAGTGTGAAGAGTCAACCAAACCCTTTTTGGATGCATGTATTTGTAAGGCTTTCAAGAGTCCACATGTTAGGTTTTATCTGTGCTTTCTTCCCCAACTCTTTTCCCTTCTCTCTCTTCTCTTGTCTCTGCACAAATCTATAACCCTTTATGTTTAAATATTCATTTTCTTTTCCTTCTCTTTCACGCTTTAGCATAGTCAAGCATAGCGGTTATCATGCAGGGAACGAGACAGCACACACTGAACTGAACACTAGGGTTCCTATGCCATCCTTTCATTTATAAGGAAAAGGTACCAAAGTAATAAACTTTTTTATGTTGTTGTTATTACTAATTAGTAATCGGTGATGATATTATTGTGTCTCTTTCTCTAGATAATAACAGTGTGAATAAATAAAAATAAAACACAGCATTTATTTATTTATGTTTTAGGCTTTATCCTTTTGTCTACTTATCTTTCTCTCTATTATTATTTATTTATTTCCCTGGTTTCAAAAGGTTCGTTTTTTATTGTGCTCTCAGGTACATAAGCCAGATTCTGAGAGACCCATTTTATCTTTTGTGGTGCTACATGGCTTGGTAATTCTGGGGTTGGATGAACCAATCGACGCAAGGATAATCAGTTTCAGCGACGAGGTTGAGTCATTAGTGGCAGCTTGTGTTTTTCGAAGGGGTTTTGAGTAGTTGCAGTTTCTGTGGGGTGTGCTTGTTTGATTGGCGAAAGAAAAGAGAGAAAGAGAAAAGGAGAAGCAAAAGTGGCTACTTTGATGAGTTTTGGGGGGTTTCTTGAGGCCAAACAAAGTGGTGGAGGTGGTCGGATCGTATCAGATATTCCTTACAGCAACGGTTCCAACCACAGCAACGATATAATGCCCTCTGGTGCAATCTCGCAGCCTCGTTTAGCTACTCCTACTTTGGCCAAATCCATGTTCAACTCTCCTGGCCTTTCTCTCGCACTTGTGAGATCATTCGTATCCTTTTTCTTCTCTTCTTCTTCTTACTCACAAAGATTTTTGTTTTGGATAGTTCTATCTGCTTACTTTGTTTTTCTTGTTTTGTTTGGGAAAAACGCAGCAAAGTGATGTCGATGGACAAGGGGATATCAACAGATTAATGCCCGAGAATTTTGAGCAGAATGGGTTGAGAAGAAACCGGGAAGAGGAGCACGAAAGCAGATCTGGCAGTGATAACATGGATGGTGCTTCTGGTGATGATTTTGATGCCGCCGACAACCCACCAAGAAAAAAGCGTTATCACCGACACACTCCTCAGCAAATTCAAGAGCTTGAAGCGTAAGACGCCTTTCATTTAGAAAAAAAAATTCTTTTTTAAGCTTCATTGTGTTTTTGTGTGAATTTTTTTGACTCTTTTTTTGAGGGTTGTTTTGAATTTTTTGTTTTGTGTTTTCTGGGTTTTAGGCTCTTCAAGGAGTGTCCTCACCCGGATGAGAAGCAAAGGCTTGAACTCAGTAGAAGGCTGAATTTGGAAACGAGGCAAGTAAAGTTTTGGTTCCAAAATCGAAGAACACAAATGAAGGTAACACCAACACTACCCTTATGTCAACACTTTTAATTTTTTTCAAGTTATTTTCTCTTACAAATTCCTTCTTTTGGGGGTTCTGAACCATGGATCGTTTGTGTTGTTTAGACACAACTGGAACGGCACGAGAACTCGCTGCTAAGGCAAGAAAATGACAAGCTTAGAGCGGAGAACATGTCTATGAGGGAAGCTATGAGGAATCCTATGTGTTCAAACTGTGGAGGTCCTGCAATGATTGGTGAGATTTCACTTGAAGAACAGCATCTCAGGATTGAGAATGCTAGATTGAAGGATGAACTAGACCGTGTTTGTGCACTCGCTGGCAAGTTTTTGGGTCGGCCCATTTCTTCTTTAACAAGCTCAATTGGGCCTCCACTGCCAAACTCAAGCTTGGAGCTTGGGGTCGGGAGCAATGGTTTTGGAGGTTTGAGCACTGTACCTTCAACAATGCCTGATTTTGGGGTGGGGTTATCAAGCCCCTTAGCCATGATGTCACCTTCAACTAGACCAACAACGACGTCAACTGTGGTCACTCCTGGCTTTGACAGATCAGTGGAGAGGTCTATTGTTTTGGAACTCGCATTGGCTGCTATGGATGAGTTGGTAAAGATGGCTCAGACCGGGGAGCCTCTTTGGATCAGGAGTTTGGAAGGTGGAAGAGAAATTCTCAACTATGAGGAGTACACAAGGACAATGACTCCTTGCATTGGTTTGAGACCCAATGGTTTTGTCACCGAGGCCTCTAGACAAACTGGCATGGTCATCATAAACAGCTTGGCTCTTGTTGAAACATTAATGGACTCGGTAAGCCTTTCAACTACCTTCACACTTTTCTCAAACTTTTCCTCCCTCTAATTTAATACCTTTTATTATTCTTGGCTCCTCTGGTTTTGTTATTTTCTCATTTTATGTTGATATGTTTTTCTAGAGTAATGTTAGTAACATGAATATCTCTATTATTCTGATGGGGGGTCTCGTCTCTAACATAAATAGTATTAGAAAGAGTACTATATAACAAAAGTGATGCTAGTCCTTTTTAATTTTGAAATCGTGTGTGGAACTGATTTACTTTCTGCTGTGGCAGAATCGATGGTCAGAGATGTTCCCTTGTATGATTGCTAGAACCTCAACCGCTGAAGTTATATCTAATGGAATAAATGGAACTAGAAATGGTGCCCTTCAGCTTGTAAGTTTAAATTTTTTTTTTCTTGGGTTACTGTTTTTAAAACCAAAAATTAACGGGAGAATTTTTTTAATAACATAAAAACTTGTTCTCAGATGCATGCTGAGCTTCAAGTCCTTTCGCCTTTGGTTCCTGTTCGAGAGGTCAATTTTCTACGCTTTTGCAAGCAACACGCAGAGGGATTGTGGGCAGTGGTGGATGTGTCCATAGACACCATCCGAGAAACTTCTGGTGCACCCACTTTTGTGAACTGTAGGAGGCTTCCTTCTGGTTGCGTGGTGCAAGATATGCCAAATGGTTACTCTAAGGTAAATTAATTACCAATATTCTTCTTAGTTGATGGTTGGTTTTATGTTCCCATGGCATTTTTAGCATCCCAATTTTCTCTTTTTTGAAGACAGTAAAAATGATTTACTAGTACATTCTGCCAAGCCTGTGTCTTAATACTTTCCTAAATATATATAGGCTACCTACTGAACCGTACTAACTTACCTGCTGTGATGTTTTCATCACATTTATTGTATTTTTTCCAAGTGGGTGCAAGTAACTGCACCATGGTTGCTTATTTGTGCATTATTTAAAATGGGGGCAAAACACCAGGCTAAGGAATCATGGGGCTTTTGCTTTTCCAAGCTACATGGAAAGCTCCTAGTTCTAAGTAACTCAGCTTGTTTAGTGATTACTCACTATAGAACCACTCTGTCAGTGATGATTCCAATATATATTTTTAGTCTAAAGAATTTGCACCCTGAGATAGGATGCTTCTCTTTGTCTCAATTATATTCCAATCTTCAGTTTTCAACAACTGATTTTGATCCCATAAACTAATTGAGTAATACACCATGTTGCACAAATCTAGGTTATCCCATTAATTTATTCATGGAAGTCTCTATCTCTTAAATTTTTGTAGCACGAACACATTAATTAGATATCCCCCTTTGAGCAATTTGCGTTGCAATTTTTCGCCTACTTTTTTATTCCATAAAAAATTCATATGATGTTTCTATTCCACTCTTTTATGCTACATTTGTCATTCCCTAAGCATTATTTAATTTCTAGACTATGCGTGACCTGTTTCCAGCCCTATAGTCCATAGGTCTGTTATATAAAAATATTCAATGCGGACCCTTCGAGTCAAGATCAAAGACTGAACATTTTGTCTGTTTCTTCTCAGTGTTTGGGATGAGTTCACCACACTGTCGTAACAAATCTCGATGTCCCTTTACACTGCACGTAGTAGTAGCTACTTTATTTATCTAGTACCTTATATTTTATGTACTTGCTCCAAGCTCCACAGATACCTTGTCTCTCGTTGAAATTCCAACATTTGCTCTCCAGTTGCTTCTATTCATCACCATCTTCTTTGAACCCCCACAAATTCAGCACCCTCGCCCCTAATAATGACAGCTTAATCCGATAACTTGAGACAAATTTAATTCCCAAGTGTTTTGGTGTCACATTATAATTAGTACCCCAACTATACGTTAATCGGTCCACTTTGTAGCAAGATAAGTAAATTAGTTAATTATGAGTTCATGAAACAAAAATAATGGTGGGCATGAGTATGGAACATTGTTTGAATTACACGCAGGTGACATGGGTGGAACATGCAGAATACGACGAAAGCCTAGTTCACCAGCTGTACAGACCCTTGTTGAGCTCAGGCATGGGGTTTGGTGCACAACGTTGGGTTGCCACCCTTCAACGCCAATGCGAGTGCCTAGCCATTCTAATGTCCTCAGCAGTTCCCTCTAGAGAACATTCAGGTAGATTTCTCTTTGTGATATATATACAACAATACAAATACCGAAGTTTTAACCAGATAATCCAAAGATCTTATTTCTCATACTAACATTAGTTTATGTTCCAAATTTACTAACTTAAATGATTTGGGTGTGGCAGCAATAAGCTCAGGAGGAAGGAGGAGCATGCTGAAGCTAGCTCAGCGCATGACGAACAATTTCTGTGCTGGTGTTTGTGCCTCCACAGTGCACAAGTGGAACAAGCTGAACGCGGGGAACGTGGGGGAGGACGTGAGGGTGATGACAAGGAAGAGTGTGGACGACCCTGGTGAGCCTCCGGGTATCGTCCTCAGTGCCGCCACCTCGGTGTGGCTGCCGGTCTCCCCACAAAGACTGTTTGACTTCCTGCGCGACGAGAGGCTCCGGAGTGAGTGGGACATCCTCTCCAACGGTGGACCCATGCAAGAGATGGCTCACATTGCCAAGGGACAAGACCATGCTAACTGTGTCTCCCTCCTTAGAGCCAGTGTATGTATATACATATAATATACACATACATACATAGAATGCACATTTCCCTTGTGATGAATGAACATAGATTAAGCATTAAGTTGCATTATTATGATAAGTTAGGATGAAGTTTATATTATTTGTATAAGCATAGATAGAGAAGTTTGGAATACACGTGAGATGAAGGTTTTGGATTTTTTTAATCTTGGGAAGTGGTGTGAGGGTGAGTTGAGTTTTAACCATTGTCGATTTGTTCTGTTGTGTGACGAAAATGTGCACGAGAAGAGGGAACGTCAATGTGGAGTTGTCGCGGAGTGTGGGGATAAAAAAAAAGGTGAAATTGAGAAGGACAGGGTTGGAAATTTTGGAAGTATCTATGAAGACAATTGGCACCAGAAATAGGGCAGTGTTTGTTTCAGTAAACTTTTATAAAAAGTCAAAATTCAGGACTTTTGTCAACTTTCTATTTTCCTCTCTTCTGACCTCATAATTTTGCCCTAATTTTAAAAAAAAAATTTGGGGGAAAAGATGGTACCGGGTTTGACTACCCCCACCGAACTTAACGAAAACGACAACACCTAAAGTTGGAATTTTCTTTTTCTTTCTCAATTTTATTTATTATATTGTTTTTAATTTTTATTTTTGTTGTGGCAGGCTATGAATGCGAACCAGAGCAGCATGTTGATTTTGCAGGAGACGTGCACCGACGCCTCGGGTTCGCTTGTGGTGTACGCGCCGGTGGACATTCCCGCCATGCACGTGGTGATGAACGGCGGCGACTCTGCCTACGTGGCGCTCCTCCCGTCGGGGTTCGCCATCGTGCCGGATGGATCCATCACCGGCGGTGAGGATCACGGCGGCGCGTCGCAGAAGAGGGCTAGTGGGTGTCTTCTGACGGTGGCGTTTCAGATTCTCGTGAACAGCCTGCCGACGGCGAAGCTGACGGTGGAGTCGGTGGAGACTGTGAACAACCTCATCTCGTGCACCGTGCAGAAGATAAAAGCAGCGCTCCACAGCGAGAGTTGAGTGTCACGTGCGCGTCACGTGACTTGTTTATTATGATTAGTGGCTATTGTTATTGTTTGGTTTTGGAGATTAGTTAAGATTTGTTGTAGTTTATGATGCGATAGGTGGCGCGTGTGAGTGACGTGAGGGGTGGGGGTGTTGAGTCAAGAACGAACCGCGCGTGGTGAGAAAACTCCTTGCAAGTTGATGAGGGTCCGAGACTCGATGGGGTCGGGTTGGGATCTTTAACACAATGCAAGGGTGGTGGTTCGGGTATTGACTCGGGTCGACCCCTTGTCTGCACAAGTAGTAGCAGAAGAAGAGAAAAAACGAAAAGAATAGGAATGTGAAGAACGAAAAGGAACAAAATTGTGTTTCTGGTTTAGGCATATTTATTACAAGTTATCATTTTTATTTGTATTGACTTGAAAGTTTGCTAGAATTGGATCTAGTACTTTGTTGCATATCCTCAAATCAATAATTTGTTTTCATTTTTTTTACAATATAGCTCCTACTCTTTTTTCGTTTCTTAATTTTAGTATATCTTTTCTCCTTTTGTTTGATAAATGTTTAAAAGTTATTTGTCATAATTAATAATGATTACGCAAACACCTTCAAAATTAGTTGAATATGATGCTTTGGTTATGAAACATATATGTAAGACATGATACCAATTTAATCCATCAATAATCAAAGGAAAATTTTCTTCATATTTCCCCGCGTTAAAAAGTGTTCCCAGTGAATACCACTATGATCAGGTATATTTAGTCTTACTACATTATGATTGAAAACGTTTAGAAAAAAAAAAAAACACTAAAGCATGATTTTATCAAATTATAAATATTGTTTAAAATTTTCAAGAATAAAAGTAAATATACTTTAAGAGAGAGTGAATATCTCCATCCTAGATTTTTGGAACGAGAGCAAGGTGTCCCTAAGATTATAACTGCGAGCCAATTCGATTCGACTCATTATCATGAACTAGATTTTATTTATTTATTTTTGTCGATAATGAGTTAAAAGGAAATCTAGTTCACTTAAACTATAAGTTGTTCGAATCGAGTTATGATGAGTTGATCCGTAATTTATCATTTATTTTAAATTTTAAAAATAATTAATAATAATTCGGTAATTTTAATTGATATTTTTTCTTTACTTCTATTTCATGTCGTCACTACAATCAAACTCTCACTCAGGTTTATCATCAATTACGTTCTAATGTTTGTTGCGTTTTAGTTCCGTGTTTCAATCATATCATAATTTTTATCATATCAACACCATAATATTTCAATCTCGCATTTCAATCGCATCATAATATTTGTCACGCCACCACATTTGTCGCACTAGTGCATTTGTCGCGTCACCACGCTATCGTGTTTCAGTTATATCATAGTGTTTATTACATCTTAATTGCATTACATAGTTTGTTATGTCACCGTATTATGATGTTTAGTCCCGCTATTCAGTCGTGCTTATTAGAAAACAAAAACAAATGTAAGTTAGTGAGGTAACTCACCAACCCATAGTGGGTTGAGCCAAATTATAAAATTTCTGATTCCCCATAAAATACACTTTAACACCTTTGAGAACATTGCCCTAATTTGGATTAGTATATTTAATATTAATATATTATTAGGTAAACTATCATTCCTATGATTATTTTGTCTTTAAATTTAGAGGAACCTAACGTTGTATAGTTAAAATTAACATTAAATAAAAGTACAATCAGATTTAATTCTCTAAAGAAGTCCACTCAATAAGATAGTTATACATATTGGTGCTATTAATTATTTTAATTAAATGTCAAAATATAGTTGAATAATTAAATTAGTTTCAACATAAAAATGGTAAATATTGTAATAAAACAACTTACCATCCTTCTTCCAATTGACTAATAAAATCGTTTGTAAAAAACCACGAGTCTCATCAACTGACTAATTAAATTATTTTTATTTTTCAAATATTACTGTTACATTTTAAAAAATTTATAAATCATAAACAAATTACACATCCTCGAAGAATATTTACAAATATTTTAAAAGTGAAGAAATTAAGAAGATCATCATAGATGTTATCAATGTATTTACTGTGATTTAAAATATATTCTCATATGTAAACTTTTTTACTTATTAAAGTGTCAACTACAATTTTCAAAATATTAATTAGCATGACACAAGTCTTTTTCTCAAAAGAGTCATATAAAAAAAGTGACATTTTAACGTTCTTTCGTCCTCTGCTTGACAAATGAAGAGAACTTAAAATCTAAATATGAACACATGACTCGTGTTACGTGTGTATCCATCACTAATAAATATATCTGGTTGTGGATGAGTATCCATCAATTGAGAAATTATACATTTCTAGCCAAAATTATACTAACAATGAGAATGAAAAATAAAAATATACACAAGTAAATTTTTAGTAGGAATATAAGAGAGAGGAAATTAATAAAAGTATAGAAATTCGATATATATTTTTTTCACATTTCTCTAGAATCAAATACTTTTATTCATGTGTATCTTTTCTTATTTTCAAATTGATTTAAGGTAATATTAAATGCATTTATAATATTTTATTATATAGGAATTTTGATGAAGTATGAGAGAAAAAGAACAGTGGATGGAATGGAGGTGGTTGGTGGTGAGCGTGTGATTGCATTAAATGAGGGAGCAGAAGGTGTTGGGAGAACCCTTCCTTTCATTTAATGCACTCTTTTCTCATTTTTGCTTACGTCACCCGTTTCCACTCTCACGCCTCCATTATCTCTCCCACAATATTTCTTAAAAAAACGATTTTTTACTTGCAGTTTAATAATATTTCTGCCCTAACTGAATTCCACTGTGGAAACAATGCATGTCATGTCCATTGTGATTTGGATTCTTCACAACTCCACTGCCAAATGTATAATTACATATAAAAGGGTTTCAAGTAACAGGGTTTGTATATTTCAAATGATAGGGTTTATTATATTCTTGCCTGTATGTAACATGAACGCGGAAACAGGATCCTACTGTCTCTATAAGCCCACGTCTGAGCCATTTACTGTATTGTCTCTCTTTCTCAAACTAATCAATTCTATTTAACTTTTGAATAGAGAGTGATTCTTGCATGTTACAAAAATAATCGCTATGAATAAGAACTAAAGTATCAGCAGTAAGAGTATTTGATATACGAGTGTGGCCAAAAGAAGAAGAAGAATCTGGGTATGTAACTGATAAGACGATGACTCCATTCAGGATTTGAACTTGTTACTGTTGAGAATAGTGTCGCGTTTGGAAGATTATAAAGTGATTTTGCAACTGGGAAAGTGACCATTGCTTAAAAAATCACAAGTCCTATCTTAGCTGATAACTACACTTCATATTTCCAAATAATGTGAATAAAAAGATATGCGGATCTTACCAGTCACCATGAATGTGTGGGTAAAAAAGCTCTTTTGGCCAATTCTAGTGTACCAACTAGTAAACAAGTATAGATTTCTTCTTCAATCAATTGTTCTTCATTCAAAAATATGCCATGTGTTACCACTTATCGCTCAATCACTGTCTTACACTTCATCCATGTTGCCAATATTATTGTAGACAATTCACCATGACCCTGTTCTCATACACTCCCAATTACTCTTCTGTGGACCATCTTTGTGGAGCCCCTCCCAACAAAACCCTAAAGATGTGCTTTTTGGACTTTAAACAACCCATCACCTACATGTCATTTCATACTCTCAATCAAAACATTAAGAATTCTTTTTAAAAGATAACACTTGTAAAATATATGCAATATTTTATCTCTTAAACAAGGTGTTAATCTCAATTTTCTCAATCAAAAAAATAAAATTAAGAAAGTTTTAAATATAAAATAAGCAATATTACACCTCTTAATCAAGCTCTTAATAATAATGAGTATTTGTACCATTCAATATATATATATATATATATATATATATATATATATATATATATATAAAATAACAAAAAAAGAAATTTTCTTTTGGAAGTTGTACAATATGCAAGTATACATACAAAAAGGAGTATAATAGGAGTCAGTGTGAATAGACGAGAGGAATGCTGAGCCTCCAAATGAGTAGCAAGCCATTTTTGTTTTCCTCGTTTATTGAAACTTTAAGGTCCCACTTTTGAATTCACAGCACAAAACCATGAACCAACCAATGAACATTGGCCCCAGCATTGCACATATTTTCTTTCAAGTAGCTAATAATTCTTCCATGCATGTTTCTCTCTCTCTGCCACTATGAGTCTCATGCATGCACACACACACACAAAAGTACACGTGAACGAGGATCACAGGATTTAATCGATCTCTCAAATCCCAATACTACTTGAGTTGTTGATGTTGATGATGACGATGATGATGAAGAAGAAGAAGGTAATAAAAGTCAAGAAAACGAAAGGCTATCCGAAAGAAGGAATGGGTGTTGGCGGTTCTATAGTTTAGGACATTATCTTATGGTCCTGTTTTTTTATTACCACATCGTACACAAAGTTACTCATCCTTCGTGAAAATTATCGAGGGTTAGATCTTCAACCTTGTTGTATTTTGTTGCCTTTCACAGCCACCTTGGTTGGAGTGGGTTCCATACCATTGAAGTAATGTTATTTGTATTATTAAAATATGTTATATATTAAGACAACGATGGCAACGTTTGGATGTATTAGATGGAATTGGAACCCACGCCCTATCTTTCTAATCCATCTATCTTCCAATTTCAAACCATTTCTCTCTGAGAAAATGTCAAAAGTGTGGCATGAAGTGACCTTGATGGGATTGTCCTGCAACTACAACTTGAAAGCTTTATCAATTTATTGTGATGCCATGTTTAGGTATCCGTTGAATATTCGTCACTAGTAAATAAATTAATACTTAAAAGAATTTTTCTTATCCTAACGTTTCATTTTTTCCTCTGAATCAATTTACTGTTACTGTAATATACATATCCTAAGTTTTTTATGGTGGTTATAATAGATATTTATGTCTAAGAGATCCTCTTTTTAATTCTTATTTTTAATAGAAATATTTGTATCATTTATATTATTTTATCAGATTGTTAATTTCATTATTGTGAATCTGAGATATTTAAGTCTTTTATAATCTCTTTTAATTTATTTTTTATTATAAGATTGTTGTGAATCTGAAAAATTGTGTAAATTGTGAGAGGATATACAATTGATATATTTTTATAAAGCAATATAAAATGAAATTATCTATTGACTTTCAATTCATTGTGTCAACAATGACGAAAATGGCTCTTTGAAGGCGGTGATGTTACTGTGTATTTACGAATCCTCAAAACTACATATTCACGTGGCTTAGCTATCATCTAATATATTTAGTGGACATATTATTAAATTAATATTTTTTTATCCTATGCTAAACTAGAATTGTATTTCACATTAACTGAAAATTTATCTATCATAAAACAAAATATATTTCAATCAAATTATTACAATCAATATATTGAAGATATTGAACTTTTGGATTCATTTTGAGTTCCTAAAGTTTATTAAGAGAACACACGTTAAGATATATAATTAACACTCTTCATAGTATTTTTTTTTTTATAATTCATGATACGATATTAAATAATAATGATAAGAATAATTGATAAAATAAAAACTAATTATATCAAATATTTAAAATTAAATAGAAATAAAAGTTCTCTAAAAGTATACCTTAAAAGGGAATTAAAAAAAAACGTTTTAATGTGCAGTTATTCGTATATATATAATTATAAGTTTTATTACAGGAAGTCGTAAATCAAGAGAAGTCGTAAAAGAAAGTAAGTTATATCAATAAAATAGAAAAGTATTTTAATATCGCAAAAATTATTCAATATTAAGAAAAGAATCCATAATTTATCTTTAAACAATATCATTAAATATTCAAATCTATCCAAAGAATAAATATTGGCAGAACTATTACATTTAATTTATACATTCTAATTTATTTTTGATCCAAAATATTTTAAATTTTCTTAACCTCAGCCACTGCTACTCCTAATTCACAGTATTTTGAACCTAGTCGAGAGCACAACCACCACTAAAACATCTTAGAAAATATCAATAGACTTGGTACATTCTATAACCAGAGTTTGATCTACGGTAAAGACTTACCTCAGACAGATCATTACACAAAAGGTATATCTCTATATCTGTGGCAAGTTTCATGCAGCTTTTGATGTCTATCTCTCAGGATGTCCTATCTAAACCCTACATATACACATTGGACATAGTAACGCTGAAACTTTCTCATTACTGTTAATGTCCAAAATAAGGGCCATCATTTTTATGTATACATCACTCACTTTTACTTAACACAAGTTATGACTTTCATATCTCATGTTAATATATAACATCACAATGGTATAAACTGAAAGAGAATTATGAAACCGTGGTACAGAATCGGTTTGGAAAACTTGGCATTTCATTTCAGTTTGTTTTTTAAAACATTTTGGATCAAAGAGTTTGATTCTGTTAGTTAACTTTGGTCTTAAAACTGATTCATTTAGCTTACGTATTTGGTCTGTCTGAAAGTTAACCACATTCTCACATATTTGTGTCTGTTGTATATCATGTGGTTGCAATTCAGGGAATGTTTATAAATATACATGGAAGTTTAAAGTTTGTATTAACGAAGTAGAACAGTTTTCTCATGTTATCCAATTACAAATATATTTCAGAAGAAAAAGCAAATGTGTGGAATTCCCAAGGAACCATGTTTGGGTTTTATATGCAGCATGCATATTTGCACGGGAATTTTTTTCTTATCATTCTGTCTTCTGTTGAACATTCTGATAGTAATCTATTCTATCTCCATTCGAGTAAAATCCTCCTTAATATCAATAAAGTAAAGGCAGAAGGTATATATGTTTCTGAATTAATAGAAAATATCAATTTAATTACTGTGCCATGTTTCTGTTCCATGAATCAGAAGTATTATTTATAATGAGTATTAAATATCGTGTATTCACTGAATAGTTCAATTTTAACTTCATCTAAGTTAATCATGTGTATTGTCCCTAAGATTGATGAGCTTCGTTTCCCTTGTATCTTCTGTACTCTGAGGAGGTAGACGAGGCACATGGCTTTCTTGTGGTAGGTCAAATGCTAGGACCACTCTATCTCCCCCCCATTCTATAGGGACAAATAACACTATTGTCACTAGTTTCCACAACACTACAAAGGCAACATACAAACCAGTACACAGCACTATTATTGCTTACAGAAGTTGCTATCTTGCCTTTGAAGCTTTTTCTTCTGATCATGGGAATCGTTTTCCAAGATGCTTTTCTCACTGAGAATTTATTTGGGTGAAGTTGTAGGTGTAAGAAATAACCAAAGAACTTGAGAATATTAGATGAATTGTTCATATCCTACTCTGCAAATGTTAATCCCCAATTTAACCCAAACTTTTTCTTTCTCTTTTAATTTTTGTAACTATTTTAATTCACACTTATTGTATTTTACTTCATCATTGTTTTTATTTCACTATAAAACACCAAAGTCATTATTTTAAGTTGTCATTCAATCACCATTTTGAATTTGTTTAACTCTTATAATGACTATTTTAAAAGTTATATCAAAGATTATTTTAATAGGTTGAAAATTTAATTTTTTCTTTTACACTAAAAAGTAAGATAATAACCTATTTTTAGAAAACGAAATTGAATAAAAAGAAAAAACCAAAGAATTAAAAGAAATAGCTAGACCTAGAAGCCCACAATACTTTTCCATATAGCTAGCCCACAACCATCCCTATTCAAAACTTATAACTTGGGGCCCTTGACCCACTAATTTGTTCTAACCCAATAACCATTATTCATGTTTTACTTTGACCCAATTGCTCAGAAACACAATAAACGTATCATTGCCTCAGACTTTTTACTATTGTAAACTCCATTACTATTAACAAGCGTTTTCTGATAAAACTTTTGGAATCTCTCTCACCTCTTTGTTCCCTCTGAACCAAACCAATTTGTAATTTGCAATCATGAGAATAAGAGCAAAAGTGCAGTCTAAGAATATTTATTTTTGAGTAATTTTTTAAAGCTAACTACTAATTTCTAGGAGTCATAATTATTGAACTTGCTCACATACACTGCAACCACTCTTATTATTATTATTATTGTTTTCATTGTCGGTCAGTTTCACCAATTTTATCACAACCATAATTGTTCTTCCTATCATCGATATCACGGTCACCATCACTATTTTGTCGTGTGATTGTTGATACTATCACACCAAGGTTGTTTTCACTTGTATGATAGTGGAGATATACATGCACCTATATGTCCTGAAATCATTGGCAACATCTATATATCAGTAGAACTAGCTAGACTTGCTATAATTTTAAGGTTTCTTGATCAAAGAAGAAACTGCATGATATTGTTGCATTGTCTGGATCATCTCCTCAAGAAACAAAAAATTGTGCCAGTTTGTAGGCCCAGATGAAAAATTCAAGATCTTGCATAGACAAACTTTATCAAGAAGTGTCAAATATCAACTTAAAAAAGGCCGTTGAACAGAAGTGAAGTTCGGCAGAGCCATTATCAGATCCTATGTGAAGATCAATTGCCCATGATTGTTTGGTGCCTAACTTGCCAAATTTATAAGGTGTTAAGACTTAAACAAAAAAAAGTCTAATTCGAAAGATTATTTAGTTAGGTGGGAATCTTATGAAAGATGCCATGAAAAATGATGCTCCCAACTAATTCTGATGTGATGGATAATAAATTAAGGATGTAGGCTTCGTTTAACTGGTTATGTAACAAAGATCTCATCAAATAATATCCATTTTCTTTTCTCTATCATGGTAGAGTTCAACCTAATACAAACAAAAATACAGAAGCACCAAACAAAGTACAACGATTGTTTGATCATTATTCTATCTGTTTAAGAATAAAGCCTGTCCCGCTACCATTAAAATTCGATGCCCACCAACAATTATGAAGACAATACATAACATAATTTGAAGGAAACAAATCAAAGATAATCTACATGTTGTGTTAAAATAATGTTTTTATGTCCTAATAAGTTTGACCAAACATCACATACTATGAAGATATGTAGTGGTCTTTTTTAAGAAACAATATTGTCTGTAGCATTTAAAAAAAGAAGGAAGATTGCTAATTAATATTCTAGTGATTTTAATGAATAATAAAGTTGACAAATGAATAAATTGTTGAATTCTATTCATTCCAAGTGAACAGAATAGTATATCAATTTGATTCAAATATATAAACAATCTTTTATAATATACATATGCCTTAAGTAGTATCCCACTACAATTTGAAGATTCATTTTATTCATTTTTTATATGTTAGAGGATCAAATGTCACCCTTAATGATTGATGGATATTAAACAAAGTTGCAAAGCAATCTAAAAAAAAATGTAGTGTGGTCTTAAATGTGTTTAATACAAAGACATTCTTATAAGACAGATAAAAAAAGGATAGAAATTAGTGAAGACTAAGAATACATAGAGGAAACTTTTTTACCTAGGAAGTCTAATTCTTAACAATTTATGAAATGGTTGTATTGATAAGATTCTTTTTTTAAATATTATATTACTAATGTGAAGTATTTATTAATAAAGTGAAGTATTAATCTTTGTCGAATTTTTAACTAACAATTTTTTAAAATTTTTACTTCCAATTATATTTGTATTTGTTTATTTCTTATTATAAAGATACTATATCTTTTTTACATTTTTTCATGAATTGAAACCACTTCTCATCTTAAAAAAAATAAATAAACTTTTTTTTATATATGTGTAATATTTGTTTTGTAAAGGAAATTTAACGAACTCGGTAATATATAACACCTAGTAATTATTATTTATATGTTTGTAAATAAAATAATGTGAATAACAATATCATACCAAAAAAAAAATGTTAAAACAAATAGCTATGCATGTAATAATATTAACAAAATTAAATTCATACTAAAACTAATAATATATATACTTTCTTTAGAAGTTTTGTGAACTAAAATTGTTTTGATGTTCAACATTGACCTGTTTAATCCTAAAATGTGGCATGATTAATAGTAAGAACAGCGGAAATTCCTCCAAAGATTCCGTTTATACCTATCTCATGGTTGTCTGAGAATCCCTTGTCTGTTATTAAATAAAAAATAAAGGGTTTTATTGTAACTGCAAAAACCGAACACCAACTTTCTTGTCAAAACAAGAAGATCGTAACGGTCCAATCTCCATCAACGACTGATTGACGGTCCAAATTTCACGTTTGACTGAGGTACAAACTTTGAAGCTAGAATGATTGGAATTGATGGAAGTTTGACCATAGAAATTTGAGAATTTGATTAATTAATTGTCAAAAAAAACGGAAAATTCCACCTGGCACCCAATTTTGAGAAAGTGGGTTCATAAGATCTGTGTTGTTTGGCTCCATTTTCGCTTCCATTTTCTTGATTGTTTTGTATTTGCAGGAAGCAGGTGTGGGAGAAGAGAGAGAAGGGTTTCTCTCTCTTTCTCTTCTTCGTGTCTTACTTTATTTTTTTTGAAAAAAAAACAAAAATTGGTGGGATTTGAGGGTTCTTAGGTTGTGGATTGAGTTGATTTGTTGGGGTTGGAAGAATCTATAACTATGAATATGATGCGAAGGTTGAAAAGCATTGCTTCTGGGAGAACTTCCATTTCATCAGATCCTGTAAGCTTAACATCTGTTGTTTTTTCTTCCCATATAAAAAAGTTTTAATTTTTTGTTGTTTTTGGAGGAAATTCGTTTTATATTTGGTTGCTGTTTGCAAAATTGAAAAACTAAATTTTGATCAAGAAACAAAAAATGAACATGTTCATTGATTTGGGTTACGTGGAGTTATAACTTATACTTGTTGTGCTTAACTTTTTTTTTTTTCTCTATTTTTTTTTTTACAGTATGGTTATGAATTTGGTTTAGCGCCCTTTGCTGAATTGATTTATTACAGATGTGAAGTTTCCCTTTTACCTAAGTGATTGTGATTGTGATTTTGTTATTTTATTTTTTGTGTCGTATATTAGTTTTGAGATATAAATTTATCTGATTTAAATCGCTTTATAATTTGACCGTTTGTGTGTCCTTTGTTGTTGTTTTATTTATATTTTTTTTGTCTTGGAATCGACCAAGCTTTGTGAGTTTGACATGATTGTTGTAGTTTTTTGGCCATCATCGCAGTACTCGTAATTTGATTTTGACGAGAACTATGATAAGCCTAACTACGTGGGCAAGTTGAGAAAATGTTGTTTACCTTGAGTTTCAATTTGGTTTTCCCATTTTCCATGCTTGGTAAAAACACATGAGATACCCCTAATATGTTAGTTAAATTCAAACCATTTCTTTTCAGGTAGGTGATTGGACCACAAAAAGACCCAAGTTTGATCAAGACACAGAAGGAACGGTCAATGAGGAGACATATCCTAATGAGAAAGGCGAAAAAGATCTGGAGCAGTATGGAGATGCATCCACAGAAAGTGTTGATTCCAATGCTCCTACAGCTAGAGCTGAGAAGTCAGGTTTGGATCAACTTCCAGAGGAATTAAATGAAATGAAAATTGGAGATGACAAAGGAAAAAACAACAATGAGAAGGTACTTTCTTGTGATTCATTTTTTTTTTGTTTTCTTACTTTTGATGTTTGTCAGTCATCAATGTCATAGTTTCCTAAAGGTGAATCATTTATGAATATTTTGTATTCATTGCAAAGTTGTTACACTAGTTAGTTTTTGAAAAGCTGTTTCTTTTCTAAATGCAATTGTTGAGCACGATAAGTGATTTGCTTGTGCAGGATATGGAAGCAACTATCGTAAATGGTAATGGAACAGAAACAGGTCAACTAATTACAACTGCTATTGGTGGTCGAGATGGACAACCTAAGCGGGTATTGTTTCCATGAATTCCTTAATTTATCTTCTACTATCCCATTTGTAAATCTTATGTCATGGAATTAGATTCTGGGAATCCCTTTTCTTAAATTTATTATTTATGTATTATAATACCTGTTAAATGTTGTTAAAAGGGGTACAAGGTGAAAGAATATCACTTTTGTAGTTTTGATATATTTTGTTAGTTTGAATATTAAATACTAGATTGTTTACTGTAAAATTTCACTAGTTGGTATTGTCGACCAACTTTCCTACAATGTTTGTAACTTACCAGTGCTTTATGACATTGATATGAAATATTTTGCATTATGTAACTTTGTTTTTTCCTGGCTCAGACAATCTCATACATGGCAGAACGTGTGGTCGGCACTGGTTCTTTTGGTGTTGTTTATCAGGTATTTATATTTGTTTTGCAGTATTTCATTACTAGTAAGATTTGATGTTTTGCTTCACTGTTCTATGTATTTGTCAAGTTACTTTCTTTCTTATCCACTTTGCCTTGAATATACTGTAGGCCAAGTGCATTGAAACTGGTGAATCAGTTGCAATAAAAAAAGTGTTGCAAGACAAGAGATATAAGAATAGGGAACTGCAGGTTATGCGCATACTTGACCATACAAACGTTCTCAGACTAAAGCATTGTTTCTATTCAGCAGCCGATAAAGATGAGTTGTACCTTAACCTAGTTTTGGAGTATGTGCCTGAAACTGTCTACAGAGTTTCCAAGCACTATATCAGAATGCACCAACATATGCCTATCATTTATGTGCAACTGTATACCTACCAGGTAATTGTGAAATTATTAATTGACCTTTTTTTAGTAAATTTGGTTATGAATTTCTTTGATTCTGCTTATAGTATCAGTTATTTCCTTTGAGCTTTTTACTTTTGTGCTCTTATTGATTAATCATGCTAAAACTGCCGTAGATATGCCGGGGTTTAAATTATTTGCATCATGTGATTGGAGTCTGTCATCGGGACGTCAAACCCCAGAATCTATTGGTAAGATTTTTTTCTTTAAAATTTCCTTGTTTGTGAACTGCATTTATATATTTCTTGTAAATGAAAAAAAATATCCCAAGTATCATGCTTGAATTAATTTATCAATATGAAATATGCATGCTAAATCTCATTTAAATTTTGCCTGGGGGCAGGCGTTTGTAAATTATAGATCTCCTATGTTGTTGCTTGGAAGAATAGCTAGGGACACAGTAAACTGTGCCACATACTGTGTAATTTGTCATTCCCATTCACACTGGAAGAACTGAGTATTTTTATCTGCTCGTTGTAAATTTTAATAATGATTTTCTGATGATGATTATTTTAACACTGTATATTGCTTGGATCTCTTCTTTATAATGGCAAAGTGTATTAAACTGACATGATCTCATGTCACAGGTTAATCCCCAGAGTCATCACTTAAAGATATGTGATTTTGGGAGTGCAAAGATGTTGGTATGTTTCTTTTGTTTTTCCTCATCAATTTGAAAGTCATACACTACTTTGTGCCTAAGCTTGTGATATTATTGTGCTTTAGGTGCCTGGCGAACCCAACATATCATACATATGCTCGCGGTATTACAGAGCTCCAGAGCTTATATTTGGTGCAACAGAATACACAACTGCTATTGACATTTGGTCTGCTGGTTGTGTTATGGCTGAGCTTCTTCTAGGACATGTGAGAATATATATTAATTCTCTCTCTCCATCTCATGAAATTTCAATTTGTTTAGTGAAAATTGCATTTCCATGAAGTTCTCTGTGTGAGAATTCTTAATTGGTTCATTCTTTGGGTGATATTTGCCATTTAATACTGCTGTTGTATTTGATGGATACTTGTTTATCTGAAAACGTTCTCTTGTTGATTTTCTTTCTCTAGTACTAAGATACTGCAAGAAGTAACATACAATGAACTTAATACCAGTTGTCCAATGTGTTTTTCTTATAACATAACTCCTTTCCGGCGACCACTAACTAGGTTGTATTGAATAAATGATACGTTTGCAGAGTGATTCTTATCTATGATTGTGTTTTGCTTTGCAGCCAATGTTTCCTGGAGAGAGTGGGGTTGATCAGCTGGTAGAGATCATTAAGGTAAAATTTCTCTTGTTCTTTATCCTTTTGTTTGAATATATGTTTTTTCTTGAGCGTTCCATTCTGTTGTCGTTGGTTCTTCAATCTGAGTGTAATTATTGTACTGTAGATCTTGGGAACACCAACCAGAGAAGAAATAAAGTGCATGAATCCAAATTACACTGAATTTAAGTTTCCTCAGATAAAAGCACACCCGTGGCATAAGGTTAGCAGTTCTTTACTTCTTTTATGCCCCCACTTGCTCCTGGGGTATGCAATTTGTATTGTAATTAATTGATAAATACTTGCAACCAGAGATCTGATTTGTCTATTTATATCAGGTTTTCCACAAGAAGATGCCGTCAGAAGCAGTGGATCTAGTGTCAAGGATGCTTCAGTATTCACCAAATCTACGTTGCAATGCTGTAAGAAGTTAATTAGCTCTTGGAAATGTTATCCTTTGTAGCTTAATTGTACAATATTCATATACACTATATGAAGATCAACCATCTTTACACATGATGGTTTATTTGTTTAAAACATTCACACTCAACTTTATCCATGCTTGTACACAGTTTGATATTATAAAAGCTAGGAAGATATTCAGTTGTGTATGATTATATTCTGTTACAGTTGGAGGCCTGTGCACACCCTTTCTTCGACGATCTGCGAGACCCCAATGCATGCTTGCCTAATGGGAGACCACTGCCTCCGTTGTTCGATTTCACTGTTCAAGGTATGGTGGTGATAATCTTACTGTGTTGGGCTGAATATGTATTATTTTTTTCCATTTCTCACATTAAGAAAACAATGCAGAACTGGCAGGCTCATCAGAAGAGTTGCGTCGACGACTCATTCCCGAGCATGCAAGAAGTTGAAATCATTATTCAGCATTGTAAATGGGTTTTTGGATGAATAGATAACCTCAGCAGCAATGCCACCTTCCCTAACAGTCTAGGTCTCTGCTGTCCATCCTGCACCATCATGATTATTCAGCTCATAGTCAAGGAGAGCCTTAAAACCATGCAACCTCATTGTGAAGGAGTGGCAGGTGATGATCCCATGAACGAAGGGCTGCCCGGTGATAGGGTTGCAACCATTTTTTAAGTAGTTTATGATTGATTCATGTATGCCTCAACTGTAAAAGATAATCAGTTCTTACTATTCTTTGCTCATGTTTCATGTAGTTCAAGCTGTTTCTTCCTTAAAGTGGACTATGTGGAATTATCAGATGAGTAGGCGTCTTTTTTTGGGCCCATTTATTTTGTATTTGTTTCCTTTTAACAACATAAAAAAGCTTCCTTTTATTCTGAGTATGATGTGTGGATCTACTAATATCTTGCCATTCTTTTTCTAACAAATTCTTCTGGTCACTTCTAAAGGATCATTTTTGGATTAATCCTACAATTTCATGGTCATTGGCATGTCTTTCTCACCTTATCCGTCAGATAAAAAAGTAATCACAAGGACAGGTTCTTTCGATTAAAATCTGTAGAACTATTGCTTACAAAATATTTTTACAAATAATCTTAAAAGAGCTTATTTAAACTAATCACTCATATATAATATATTTTAAAAGAAAAATGATTTAAATAAATTTTTTATCAATTTATTTATTTATGTATATTTATTTATCGTTTATATATAGTTTTCTTCTTCTTTCTTATCATTAATTTTTTTATTTTATTTACTGTTTATTTTTCTCTTTTCTTTCATTTATTCTTTTAATTAATTACTATATTAAAATTTAATAAAAATAGGTTAAAATAAATATTTTAAAATCAATATTAAAACTAAAAAATATTAAATAAGTATGATGATAATAAATAGTTTTATTTATAATAACAAATAATTTAATTTAAAATTATTTTATCATAATAAATAATTACTTATTTTATTAAAAAATATCTATTTAGGAGTTAAATGTATTTTTTATTTTTTTAGTAATTTAATCTAACTATAATTAGATTGAGTAATGATAATTAGTTACATTAGATAATTTTAAAAAATTACTTTAAAATAAATATTTAATTTTTTTAATAATTATAATACAACAATAATATTTGTAATGTTAAATTTATTATATAATTATTTTTAAAATATAATATATTAAATTATAGTATGGTAGATCATTTAAATATTTTTATTTTTTAAAAATAATAAAATATTCAATTCTATCAAGTTTTAATATACTATTTTTAATTGAAGAGTAATAAGATGGATTAAAAAAAAAAAGAGAAAAAGGAAAAGTAAATCGATACTAAATAAAAACAAAGATAAAAAATAATAAAAAGAAATAGATGAAGAAAGAAAACAAAATAAAAAATAGAGAAAACAAAATTATTCTTTCTTATAAATAATAAAAATAATAAAAAGAAATAGATGAAAAAAGAAAAAAAACTATATTATATCAGACATTTATTTTTCTTATTAAATTTTATATACAATAAGTGAATAAGTTTAATTAGATAAATTAGTTTAAATAATTTTGTAAAAATATATTATTTATAGAAATGATTCTATTTAAACAAGCTAAAAGTGATCATATAAACAAATTACTAGTTTTTGTAAATTCATTTCCAATTTTTGTACAATTATTTACGTTAAAAGATAAATTAAATAAAGTTGTAAAATGTTCTTTCAAATGCATTTAACGTGAAATATATCTAAAGACATACAAGGACAATTTTCTTCCATTTTCTTTTAGACGTGTGCGCAATAATTTTTGGTATTTAAGATATTTTTTAGTAAGGGAAATTAATTTCTTTGGTAAAAACTAGGTACCAACCACAAACTATTTAAAATAAATTAATTTTAGCAATTTTTCAATGTGTCTTAACTGAATACCTCACACGTGCAAAGTATATAAAGAAACAAACTGTTAGCGAAGGAAGACAAATAATGCAAAAATAAAAAAATAAAAAAATTGTGTATATGCATTAAGTTGGGATGATAAATAGGGTTTTTCCGATGGAATGGTCCATCACAACATTTCAAATTGGTGGACCAGGTTCATAATTTTAATTTGACCATTTTGCTTTCGTGAATCCGGTGACTGTGAAAGACGAGGTGCCATGAAATAATCCAATTTTTAAAAAATATGTATGTATTAAAATTAAAATAAAAAATATTATAATTAAAATATGTAAATTTATTATAATATTATAATTTAAATCATAAATTTTAATTATTTAAATTTAAATTATTAATTATAATGAATATTTTAATATATAAATATATTAATATTATTAATTCATTTAATAAAATTATTAATAAATGAGTAAAATTTTAAAAAATATTTATATAATTAAAAATATATTTAAAAAAAAATATATAAAAAAATTAATAAATTAATTCGCTAATCTACCTTTTTAACGAAATGAGATAGATAGGGTTTATAATTTGTCCGTCAAAATGGGATGAACGTCCCGTTTTGCTAACCTAACAGGTTGTTTGTATCAAATGAAATATTATTTAAGAATAAAAAAAAAAAGATTTGCGAAGAAATTGTGTTTGTATCAGACGATTTATGCAGATTTGCAAATATAGAAAGTTAAAAAACTTTCTTCGTATAGGAGATAAAAACCAATGAAAGTCTTTAATAATTTTTTATTTTATTTTTAAATACATGCACTGATGGATTGAAATATTTTTTATATTATTTATTTATAATGAATTATGTGTTTTTTTTTTATAATTATAATAATAATAATAATTAAAATACATAAATTTTAATTAAATTTTCTTTTTATTCCTCATTATATCTTATAATTTTATTTTCTTAATCCAAACAACTTCAATTTCATTTTTCTTTTTCACTCAAATTTTTTCCTTTTCACTCCCTTAAAATCCAAACATGGGCTAAGCTCTTAATATGCTATGAAGATGTTTATTTCTTCCTGTGTAATGTATATGTACTCTTCAAAGATCGATGAGATAGTACAACAGAAACAAAGCAAATTCATCTTTAAATTGATGAAATGCTACCATTAGTCCCAATTAAAATGAAATCCTACCAGTAATCCCCACAAGAACATTTTCCTTCTCTAAAATGATGAAAACAATTGGAATCTCTCAATATGATATGACGAGAGAAAACTCCGGATATATATTTCATAGCAGAATGACAATCTCCACAAACTCTAAGATTCTTATATATCCGAATTGGTGCACCTGGTGGAGAAGCAAGTAATCCAAAAGCAACAGCCAATTTTTCACTGTGGTAAGCAAGACTAACCTCCATTCCCTCTCTATCCATGTCATGCAAAGAAAAATTCATATCTGGAACATAACCAGCTTCCTTGATTCTTATAATAATTTCATCAATCTTGGAATAAATCTCAGCTTCCCTTGGATGTCCTCTATCTTCAGAAATGAATGTATGCACTCTGCTATTCATTTCTATCCAACTGCATCCAGGCTCCTTAACTATTCCTTTTGATTTCATCAACCTTCTTATTTTCGCAGCATCATCCCATTTACGAGCTGCAGAATACATGTTAGACAACATAACATAAGGCATGGCATTCATGGGTTCCAACTCAAAAAGATTTGTAGCTGCCCTCTCTCCCAATTCTAAGTTACCATGGACTCTACATGCAGCAAGGAGTGCCTTCCACACAGTTGCATCAGGTTTCACATCCATTTGATTTAGTATTTCTTTTGCCTCATCAAGCTTTCCTGAGCGTCCAAAAAGATCAATCATGCAGGCATAGTGTTCAGGGCCAGGTTCTATTGCATAAATATTTTTCATTTGGTGAAAATACGTGCGTCCTTCATCCACAAGACCAGCATGACTACAAGCAAATAATAATCCAATAAATGTGATAAAATCTGGTTTCGTGCCACTTGAAACCATAGCATCATAGAATCTTAAGGAATGTCTTCCCTTACCATTCTGTGCATAACCAACGATAAGAGCAGTCCAAGTAATAACATCCCGAACATGCATTGAATCAAAAATTGCATCAGCATCATCCAGGCTGCCACATTTTGCATACATGGTTACAAGAGAATTATCCGCTGAAAGTGATGATCTTAGACCTGACTTAATAAAGTCCGAATGCACTTGTTTACCAAATTCTAGAAGAGTCAGTTCTGCACAGGCACTCAAAATGCTTGCAACAATAAATTGATCTGGACTTACCCCTGCAACTCTCATGTCACAAAAAATCATCAGGGATTCCACATGGGAGCCATTTTGTGCATAACCTGTAACGAGGGAGGTCCATGAGATGACATCCTTGTCACGCATCCTTTCAAACACGGCATATGCACAAGTCAACTCCCCAGTTTTGGCATACATATCAACAAGAGCATTGCCAACAAGCATAAAGTTCTCAAATCCAGTTTTGATAACCAAACAGTGAACAGATTTTGCATCAATACTACCTATTATGCAACAATTCAGAACAGATGGAAATGTATAATCATCAATCTTTATATTTCTTGCATGCATTTTTTTAAACAATTGAAGAGCTTCCTCTTCAAAACCATGTCTTACACACCCAACTATTATGGAGTTCCAAGAGACAACATCATCAGCGTCCATATTTTCTAATACCCTTTTTGCATTACTTAAATCTCCACATTTTGCATACATATCAACCAAGGCACTTTGAACATATACATTGCATCCAAAACCACTCCGCAAAATACAACCATGTACCTGTTCTCCAAAACAATGAGCTGAGACTGCAGAACATGCTGTCAATATGCTAGGAAATGTAAACTGATTGGACTCAACCCCTTCTGCGTGCATGTAGCAAAAAAACTCTATTGCCTTATGGCTATCGCCGTTTTGAGCATAACCAGTAACCATGGCAGTCCATAGAACATGATTTCCCTTGTCAAAGGCCAAACCCTTGAAGAGAATCTCAGCTTCTGAAACATGCCTGCACTTTGCATACATGTCAACAAGGCCAGTGACAACATACACATTGGATTCAAATCCATTCTTCACCACATACCCATGAATCATTTTTCCATTTTGGATTAAACACAATGCAGAACACACCCTCAGGATACTTCCTAAAGTGTACTGACTTGGTTTCTGATCCTCCAACCTCATCGACCTAAACAAACGAAAAGCCTCAGCTTCACACCCAAACCTACAATACCCCGATATGAGGGAGGACCAAGTGATTGAACTTCTGCCTGAAAACCCATTCAAAAGCTCTCGCGCTTCAACCAATCTTCCCACATTAACATAACCATATATCATGGTGTTCCAAGTATACTCATCCCTTTTAGGCATTTTATCAAACACTTTTCGTGCATCGTCAGTTCTACCAGATTTTGACAACCCATTTAAGAGCTGATTAGAATGAAGTATAGATTGATAGGAATCGCCAATGCTGGCGTGGATAAAACGAAGAAATGACATAAGCTTAAATGGGTGACATGGGAAGTAAGAAAAGGCCACAACTTTCGAGTCCAACTTGCGCATAACCACTTGTTGCACACTTCTTTCATTAGAGTCTCATTCAACAAACAGAGAATAGCAGAAACAGGAGAAGATATATTTAAGTCTGCCTTTTCAATATCATTTAGATTACATAAAACAGGATTCGGTGTTTATTTGTTTGGTGCATGCATATATATATATATATATATACACACGTGAATTTGAATTAATCGTGGTAATGCAGAAACAGGAGAAGATATATTTAAGTCTGCCTTTTCAATATCATTTAGATTACATAAAACAGGATTCGGTGTTTATTTGTTTGGTGCATGTGTATATATATATATATATATATATATATATATATATACACACGTGAATTTGAATTAATCGTGATCTATTTTAGTAATGCATAGACAATTCTTTTTCTAATATTTGAAGTTTAGTTTTAGCTCTTTTAAAAATGAATAAATAAAATCATCCAAATTTTATTCATCTAGTTTTGAAATGGATAATTTTTGGTCCTCCAAGTTCTCTCTAAGAGCCTAAGATCACTATTTTGTCCTTTTATACGGTGTTGGTCAAACCATTTGAAATCCCATGCTTCATGCATTTTAAAATTGGATCAGAAATAAAAATATCATGTTCATGAAAAAAACAAACATTTAATATGTCTAATATGTTAATTGCTAAATGTGTGTGTTTTATAATAAGTAATTATGGAACATAGTAAAACATTCTGAATTACCATTATACCCTCAATTTATCATTAGTGTTTGGTAAGAGTATTAAATTAATAAAAATTGCGTAAATAATAATGTTAGTCTAACTATTCCCTACACAAATTGTTAATTAGTTGGTTTACGTTTTTGTTACATAGATTTTTTTTTCTAATCATGTTGACTCAACTTTATTTAAGAGTGTTCCATTCTGGACTAATAACTTATTAATTGGATTTCTTTCATTTAAATAAAAATAATAATACAAAAGTGACCATACTATTTTTTAATGGATTTTGAATTTCTTAACAACCAGTCAATATTATATTGGATTTTTTTTGCTTATAAATCTCTTGAGATATTTGTCAAGAATTGAAAGCTGTTTCTATAGATTAATATTCAATATATAAAATTTTATAAACACCTTTAGATGTTTATTAAATACTAATATTCAAAATTAAAATCTACTCTTTGTTTTATTTTTCTAAATTTTAATTTTAATAAAAAAGGTATCCCTTAAGACTATACTTCTTTTATTATAAAATAACAGTATTTTAAAATTATGAGGCAATACTTGAAAAATATTAGATTAATATCAATTTAGTAAAAAAATAAAATAAATTTTGTAATATTATTGTTATAACTTTTAATTTTATTTAAAATTATTGTTGAAAAATGACTTCAAAAATTTTTAAAAATATTTTTCAAAACTATTATTATATAATAAAATACTAGGAATTATAAAAAGAAATAAGAGGACAAATTCCATGTCAAAATCCAGAAATCCAAAAAAGTCACACCCGTAAGCAAGAAGCCACTTTTTTAATGAACCTATTGTGTTCCATTTATAAACCCTTTTTCGCTTAAATGCATAAAATCGCAATCAAACATCAATTTTTTTTTTTTGGCTTGGCTTCATTAATTTGTTTCAAGAATTCAAATCCCCAGGTTTTTATTTATTATTGAAAACTTGGATAATATTTTAAAAAATAAAATTAAAATAATATTTTTAATAGTGAATTAAATTTTGTTTGACCAAAAGCATTCAAACTGAAAATTCTATATGAAGAAGATAGAAAAATGAAATTTCAATAATAATTAAAATAATATTTAATTTCGAAGTATAAAATTAAACTCAATTTAGACCAAGAATTTAGACATTGAATGAAATGTAATGATTTCATTTTACCCTAAATATATATATTCTCAAACATGTAATGATAGTGATTCAAACTAGAGAGAGAAAGTCAAAATTGAATTCAGGAACCAAACCAAACCCATTTGTTTTCATTTGTGATTCCAAAACTTCACTGTGAACTGTCAAAAGATACCTCTCAGATTCAATTCAACTAATCAAAACAAAATCTCACAGTCCAAATGCAAAACTCAACCGAATCTTCTCCAGCTTCCCCTACGCCGTTACTCCCGCGGAGAAGCCGCGTCACCCGCCATGCGCCGTTGCGGACGGCGGCGTGGTTCTTCCGGCGAGCGAGCGGGCGGCGCCTGATGCTGGGGGAGGCGTCGGTGCGTGTGAGGGAGGCTGCTGCGGCGGAGGTGGAGGGGCGGCAGAGCGAGTGGGCGTACTCGCGGCCGGTGGTGGCGGTGGACGTGCTGTGGAACGCGGCGTTTCTGGTTATTGGCGCGTCGGTGCTGTGGCTGGGCGCGGCGGAGAAGCCGAGCGTGCCGCTGAGGACGTGGATTGTGGGGTATTTGGTACAGGGCATGGTCCATTCTCTCTGCGTCCTCGTTGAGTTCAGAAGGAGAAGGATGAGTGGGGCCCACTTGCGTTCCAATGTGCCCAACCATTTTCAATGGAGCTTTACTTCCGAGAGTGACCAAGAGTTTTATGCTTCTGAACAGTTTCTCGAGGGTGATGAAAACAGGTTCGAACTCTTACATTTAATACTTATCATTATATAGAAAATGTTATGAGCAGAATATTTAATTTTACAAATGATTATGCATAAATTTCGCAGATTAAAACATCTTTGTTTGTTTAGAAAAAAAATAATTTTAGTTGGAGAGTACACATTATTAGAAAATGTTTACAAACCACACCAGAAAAAGCTGAATATGTAGAAATAATAGCACGTAATAAGTACAGTTGAACTACAAATTTACAATATCATGTTAAAAGTTGTGTATTACAGTAATTAAGGTTTTACCTGAAAATGAATTTTTTTTATGTTATTATTGCATTACCTATATTTAACAAGAGATTCATCAATTTCAATTGTAAAATTGATTGGATTTTAATAATTTATTTCATAAATTTTTTATATAAAAAATACGTGTAAATAATAAAATTTAAGAAATTTTGGGGCCGTGAGTCCTTTAGAACACAAAATCCCCCTGGGCACTTGATTATACCACAGTATTTTGGTCGTCTATTAGTTTAGTTTGCATTTTCCTTTCTTAGTGTAGTGCAGTAAGATACAATTTATTTGGTAAAAAACTTTGAAATTTTAGTTGAAGGAAAAATAGGAGAGGAAAATTGAATTTTTATTTCTGTAGATGTTTTTTTTTTTTTTGGCATTTTAACATTTACACTTTCTTCGATCAAATGAAGAAAATGCATTGTTATATTTGTTATTTCTTTCTTTCTCGTTTGAACATGGGTAATTGGTGGAAACATGAAATCCATTTTTTCAGTTTTGATTTTTGTTTCTTATTTATTAATTATACCTTTCTCACGTAGATGATTTTTCTGTGTGAACTTTTAAAAGTAGAAAAAAAAAAAGTGAAAATAATAGGATATATTTATTGTTAGTCATGGAAAAGATAGACCTTAGAATTGTGAAAAGGCAACAGTAGCTGTCCTGTTTCTATGCGCAAACTCGTGATGAATCATTTGATTTCATGAGAAATTTGTGGTTTGAAATAATGCTTTGAAGGACAGTACTATACACGTTATTTCACGAGTGTGTGTTTTCCGCCATCTGAATGTGTAAGAAGGATCATTCTGGACTACGCACGGTTAGACTGACAATGAATGAAAGCGTTGAGAGGGAAGAAGTGGAAATTAATAAGATTTCAACCATTCAATTAAGCATAGTTTCATTCTCTACTATCTGTTCCACATCTTCCAATTTTTACATCATTGATTCGGTTTATAATGAGAGTATCATTTTGTGAGAGTAGTTTATACTTTGCTGTATTTAGCATTCTAGGTTGAGTGTAGAACTGCATTTTTTACCTTATGCATGTTTATAAACTTATTGTTGTTTCCTTTATCAGCATCATAAAATACATAGAATCGGCAAATACCATGCTTTCATTCATATGGTGGACTGTTGGGCTCTACTGGGTAACTCTTGGTGGCCAGAGTTTGACAACGGATGCACCGCAGCTTTACTGGTTAGTTGGAATTTGGAACAATACTTATTGGCTAAATTGTTCATTCTTTCCCCTATTCTTACTTGCCCCATTTTGTAACCATCATGCATTTTGTGTCATGCAGGGTCTGTATTGCATTTCTTTCTTTCGACGTTTTGATTGTACTGATCTGTGTTGCTGTCGCATGCCTTATTGGTATTGCTGTTTGCTGTTGTCTACCATGCATCCTTGCTCTCCTGTATGCAGTGGCAGATCAGGTAAATATGCTTTTTCCAAATTTTAGATTTTGGTCTACATGTTATGTTTAGATAACTATTATGGCTGTTCATTTCCTAAATGGAAAAAGTGACTTTGCTGAATGAGTAGGGAGTATACAATATTGCCAGTATGCAGTTTTTTGGAAAATATCCAACAGTATTTTTCTTTTTCCTCAGAAAATGGAAGCAAAGCAAATGCTCATATCTGATATAGTAGCAACTTTCCTATTTCTTTAGAGGAAGCAAAAACCAGTTGATAAATAAAAATAGTTTTTTGTTTTGGATTACTGAAGCATTTTTAAAATTAAAATATTGATTATATGGATAGTTAATGTTTTCATGGATATTTTTAGGAGGATATTGATCCAGAAAGATGTCTTTCATTATTGTCTTGTCAATATTGATCTCTGTTGCTATAGTTCGTGTGCTTCTTGAACTAGGGGAGTTAAACTCTGCCCTATGGTTGACGTCATCTAAATTATATCCTATACTCTTACTTCGTGATTTATTTACTTAATTAATTTGATTAAGAGTTTTGTGTTAGTACAAGGACATGTTTATTTAACCTTAAAAGAAGTGATGGCTTGTCTCTGAAAACCAAAAACATGTTTAATAAGACAAGTTTTCGAAAACTATTTTCAAAAGTAATACTGCTTTTTCAGCTTTTAAAATGACAGAAAATCAAAGCATCTCCAGACTCTTGTGATTTTTTACTTTCAGTTTTTTTATTACTGATGTTCTTCTTTGCTCTGCCCCATCTTCAATTCTTCATGCCTCACGCACTCTCCCATACCACACCCTTCTGAATACCATTTTTTACAAGCTCTACAGAATAGAGCCAAAAACACCATGAGACATACATCTGTGGAGTATTTAGCTTTTTAAGATTGTAAAATAGATTTTTTCAGAAGCTACCATCTCCTTTTTCATTTTTCCTTAACGGACTTACGTCATTATTAATTGCATAGTTCCTTAATTAAAAATGAAAAAGTGATGCGTCGCATTCCGTAGTAGTTGTATATCACATCATTAAAAAAAATTCTCTTTCCCTCCTTCAGTACGTAAATCCCTATGAATTCAACAAATTCATCAATATCGAATCATAGATTCCTTTTTCAATTTTGTTTCATTCCCTTTTTCTTTTCATACTTTATTGACCTTTGATTGATAACAGGAAGGAGCAACGAAGGAAGAGATTGAGCAGTTGCCAAAATATAAGTTCAGAATAATAAAAGGTGATATTGAAGAATCTTCAAGAGGAATAATGACCGAATTTGAGAGTGAGACAGCGACCGAACATGTTGTTGCCTTAGAAGATGCAGTAAGTTCCAAGGGTTTTTTAGAAAAAAATTATCCTATCATCCAAATGTTATACTTTGATTATATAGATAGATAGATTTCTTTCTTTCCCTCAAATTCCAGCCTTACTTATTTTTTAAAATTCTGTCTCAATTTTTAGTTATATATTCTATGAGTTAATTATTTTTTTCTGCTTAAAGTTGTTACTTATATTTTCTATTTATTTAAGTTAATTATACATATCTTTATTATGATTTTTGAATATTTTTTTTGTTTTATATTTTTTTAAAATTACAAAATTATAAATATCGGCGTAATGTTTCTTGATATTAACTAGCCAGTTATTGTGAGCTCCTGTGTTGTGCATATCAATAGACTTAAAATTGTTCTTTCCGTATAGCATTGGCACAATCATATCTACATCTTGTCAAAGCAAAATCCATGTTAAGATTATTATTGTTTTATTTTTGGAAGGAACTCATCATATTTTTGAAGAAAAAAAGGTCCCTTGTATCTTTTGTACACTTAGAAAACTTACACCAATAATTCAAACATAGAATATATTATATATATATATATATATATATATATATATATATATTTATGGTGTATTGATAGTCTGTTTGAAATAAATATCTTATTGGTTGTACTTTAGATCTTTGTTAGTAAAGCTGCGGCTACTTTTTTAATGCTTAGCATGCTACACCTGGTAGCTGTATATTTTGATGAATGGTTTCACACTTTCACTTTCCCAATTTGGAAGTTCAAAATTCAATTTTGCTAAAAGAAATCCCACTTTTGACATGAATGATTGTGGTATAATGACAGGAATGCTGTATCTGCCTTTCTCCCTATGATGATGGTGCTGAGCTCAGAGAACTTCCTTGCAACCACCATTTTCACTGCACATGCATAGACAAATGGCTGCTAATCAATGCTACATGTCCTCTCTGCAAGCTTGACATTTTGGTTGGTAACCATCAAGAAGTTTGAACAAGCTCCCTTTTTTCATTGCATTGATTAGGAAAACAGAGCCATTTTGAAATCGCGCTGTTTTCTGTGCTGTGAATATTTCTTCCCGAACAGGCTGTTTCCAGCTAAATGTGTATTAACTATTAAGAACTTTAAGTCTTCTCATTTCAGCTTATGACATGACCAGATAGACACCATGCCTTATATTAGAAAACTCTATGTACTGCACAAGGTTCAACACCTGTTATGTATAATTGTATCTCTTACAAGACAAGGTCATGGAGGCTTGAATCAGAAAATATCCAAATATGTGTACATTGTCGGACCTATGATTTCGGTATAGCAAAATAAAATTTATTGTGATTACAATGCGACTGTTCTCCTTTTCCAAGTCCTCAAGATAAAATATGATGACTAGATTTTTTTTTTTTTTTTTTTCATGCATGGTTATTATTACAAACAGTGATGTTGAAATCTCTCTTGCTTTGCTGGGTTTCTTATATCCCATATTTCTTTTGTATCAAATCTTATTGTTTCCTCCTATTTGAATAGCGATGTTGGTAACATGAGAATAAATTGGTAGATATTAAAATAACATGAGAAATAAAGTGTAAACAAGAGATGTTTGGTTGAAGAGATGAAAAGATAAAAAAGTAAAAATAGGTGACAAATTATAACATCTTACTATTTCTTCCACCAAATAGTGTATATGAATTCTATCCTTATTCATAACCTTTGCAACCAAACACACTATTAAAAGTCATTCTTTATATAAATGATCATCTGCCCTGGTTTGTTGACACACTTGCTCAAGTAACCCTATTATGTATTCATATAAGTAGTTCAATCTCTCTCATTAGTGTGTAGCTATATTATTCCCAAATCTTGTGGAGGTTGATCTTTCTTTTAAGGGTTTTGGCCTTATATTATATTCAATATATTATCTATTTTAGAATTTAGATTTGACTTTTTTTTTTCATTTTTATAAAATATCTTGATGCATTCAGGAAAAATGGTATTTATAAATTATTTTAATTTAAAATGATAGGAGACTTTTGAATGTACGAAAACAAATAAGTAATATTTTGATTATAATAATAAATTCTCGGTAATGTGAAAAGTCCATAATTTATTTTAAAAGTCAAAATTCAATATAATAAATTTTTTTCTTGGCTTATCACGACTTTTTAAAAAAAAAAAGATAGAGCATACTAACCAAAATTTTTTAAAGTAGAAAATATTTCAAATTGGATTATGAATCTTATAAGTTATAAACAAAATCCATCCTCTTTAAACCTTCTTTTTAAGTTTTCATCACCTATCAATTTTAATGCGCAAATCTCAACCATAGCGTAATCCTTTCACAAAGATTGCCACAAACATCTTCTGATGAGTCACTGAATTGCATATCACAACAAAAAAGCAACATTTAAGTCTTCGTACTTGCACCCCTGAATTTGTTAAGGTCAACAACAACCATCATTCTCTCGTTCTTGTTTGTCACAAATTAGACTAGAAAATTGATATAAAAATCACTATGCAAAAGGATGTTTAGTAAACGGTATTAATTACCCGAAAGGAAGAGGTCACCAAAGTGAGCAAAACTCTTAAAACACTTTAGCTTTTTTATGAAACTAAATCATTGTCAACATGTTCAAATTACAAAGTAAACACTTTAACCTAAGAAGAAGAAAAAAACTTTTCATCTTGGAATATTGAGAGGGCAATTCCAGAAAACAGGAACCCCTGTGACAATTCCTGCGGAATCATCATTCTCACCCACTGTCACTTGCGTCCCAAACCCTCTCAAATTCTTTTCAATCTCCACCATCGAACCCGAAGATTCACACTCCGGTGGTGCCTTCACCACCCTCACCGAGAAATTGATGACCCCATTTCTCTTACCCTTCTCATCCCAAAGCCTATAACTCAAGAACTGCAAGCTATTTTCTGCCACAAACCCTTCAAAGTTAAACTCAGAAACCGCTATTCGTGCTGCTCCCACACTTTTAACACCGAGCCATGTCTTGCATTGCACCTCCAACGTGATGCAGTTGGTTCCATCAACCAAGAACTTCTCGTTCCATGACGGGTTGTTGCTCCCACCCTCTTCTTGTGTCCTCGTTGTGAAGAATTTGGTGCTTGACTGCGTGTGAATGACAACGTATGTGTCCTTTTTTATTGGTTTTCCGTTCATGCAGAGGTTTTCGGCTGATATAATCGTGATCTCCATGGTGTGAGAATGTCAATTTCTATGCGATTTAGATGTCAGAAAGAGATAATAGAAAAAGGATGAAGATAGAAAAAAGCTATATTTAATTGTTTAATGAATGTTTTTAAGGCATAACAACGCATTTTGAAAACACTTGTTTTGAAATATTTTTTTGAGTTAATAAAATGTACGAAGTTAGAAAAATAGTGAGTAAGAAAGAAGTGAGGGAGAGTTAAAAAAATAGAGTTATATAGAAGGATTCAATGAATTTAATTTATGTTGAAGCACGTGGGTTGATTTTAATCACATTGGTGTGCAAAAGGCACCGTTGAATTAGACTTATTGATCTTAATAATAAAATTCTACAAAGAGAAAAAGGAAGAAGAAAGACTCTTTCTTATAACAAAGCAAAAAGAAAAGGCAAAAGTTGGAAAGTAAATACAAGTGGGAACTGGTCCTGTTCCACTCTCCGTAAGCTAACATTAAATGAATCTTTACTTTTTCTAAACTAAAGTTGCTAGATTTTCAGATTTTCTACACGAAATTTCCTTCATCTTCTCTGTGTGCGTCTCAGTTTCCAAATCTAACATGAAATTGGAAGATAAATTTTGGTTACACTTAATGTCTTTCAGGATTAACTTGTAAAATAAAATGCATAGCTTAACGTGCAAGACAACATGAGACTCTCTTTTTCTTTCTTTTTGTTTTTCTTTGTTGTGAGAGGAGACGTGGGGAGAAGTTATAACCAGAAAAAGAAAAGTGTGATACTTTGATGCATTATTTTAAGATGTGAAGAATTATTATAAATAAATACCACGTATTGATTTTATTTTATTTTATTGAAAAGAAGGAATAAAACACTTGTTTTTTATTCAACTTCCATTTTTTTATTTACTTTTTTATATACACACAAAAAAAAAATGTTAAACTATGGGTTTGCTTCTTCAAACTTTTCCAAGAAAATTTTCTATGAAAACCAAATCTTACCTTATAACACTTGCAACATAATAAGTCAGACAAAAAAAATAATAATAATAATAAAAAGCACATCATGGACGAGTTACGTGATTAAGTAGATGACGGCTCTTTGCGCATAGGATAAAAGAATATATTCATCACATCAAACTAAAAATAAATAAAATAATACTGTAATTTTTTTTAAATTGTAAATTTTTAAAAATATTCCTCTATGATAATGCTAACCTTGTGCTTTGTTCTCCAAGAATCAAATTTTAACCTAAAATCACTTTACAAAAGCGTATAGTATTTAGGAAAATATAACTCCTCCTAATAAAAATAAATATGAATTTATTTTCCAATTTTACATATTATTAAAACTAATTAAAAAGAATCCTAAAAGCAAAGTTTGTCAAATTCATGTCCCCTTACCTACCCAATTGTCCATGCATAAAATTGACTCATGCATAACCACCAAATTTTCATCCACCACCAAAAAAAAAAAAAAAAAAAAAAAGATATTAAAAATGAAAAATATCTAACTAAATTATGTAAAACGAGAAACTAAGAAGAATTGTGGGACAATAAATATTCATCTCATTCATTTCTTAGATACCCGTAACAACGAAAGGTTATTGAAGTAATTTTGCACGACAAATAAATATCGTTAGAAAGTAGAATTGAATATTAAGAAGATTTTTTTAATATCATATTAAGAATTAGGAATGAAAATATATCTTATAAAATTGGTTTATAAAATAAATTTTGTATCATAATTATGTATATAATTAGCATGGAATCTTTATTATCAGACGCTAAATCATGTAATAATATATCGATATTACTTTTAATAAATAAAAAATTAACGTCGTCACTCTTGGAACATGCTGTCTCTTTCTGACATGATTGATTAAAACAGAGTTTTGGCACAATGTTATTTTAATGTTAAAACTCTCAGCTGTGAACAAATATTCTGTTCTGACGGAGAAAATTACACACTTTTCTTTTTCGAAAAAATATTTAAAAAAACTATGACTTTTTTTGGTTAGAATGGGATGCCAAAGATGGTGGTTGAAAAGCTTCCACTTATATGTGAGTTCCTCACCCAATCGTGATTGGGCTTCAACCATGAAACAATTTTCCAGTCCCACATCATAAAGTTAAGAAAAAAGTGTTATTATTATTATTAACTTTGGTGACAAAAGTGGCTTTAAATAGTCCCTTGCGAGCCTTCAAAATTGCTCTTCTTACTAATGTTATTATAATAAAGGAATATAAGGAGGACCTGCACCTTGAACTAATTAGCATTGATGGGCTTTGTTAGTGTATTTGTTAGGTTATCTTTAGTATCAACCTTTTGTTTCTCTTCTAATATTTTCTCTGAAAGAATGTGATACTCATCAAAACTTTTTATTCTGAACCAAAATATTATACATTTCTACAATGTGCAAATGTATTTTAATTCTCTGAAAATACAAAAATATTAATTAATGTATGAGATTGTTTTCTTACATACTTATATATTTGTAATGTGTTTTACTAACTTGGATATTATCATAAATAATATATTTGTAATGATATTATCATAAGATACAAGAGATACTCTCCTATACATAAATAAAATATTTATTATTAATAATTGTGAAACAAAATTAATCATAGATATGATTGTAAAACGTTAACAATCTTAACACTCTAAACTATTCATAGAATAAAATTATTCAAAATTTAAATGTAGATATGATTGTAAATTTATGGTTGATTTGATAGAAGACGAAATGAAACACGTAATTAACGCAGAATATAACATTTCTATATTGGATTAAGAACCATATACTTTTTTTCAGTTGCATGTAACAAACTTTGCTTCCATTGCCTTCAATTGACTTCAATTTGTGTAAAAAACGTGGAAATAAAGATGAATATGAGAAAGACTATCCTTCAATGTGAACACAGAAACGTAATCGACCTGCAACTCCAAAAAATGGTAGGTTGTATGTTTGGATTTTTCTCAGTTTTATAAGATTTTTATATCTTTGAAGAACTTACCCATCAACAATTTTACATATACAAAACCCAGTTTCAAGACAAATTGTTAACATGCAGAATTTCTGCAAAATTGAGTTTTTAACCAAACATATCACAAAATTAAGATCATTCTCGACACTGAAGTTTTTTACTTTAAACTGAAAAATAAACGTAGTCTTAGTTAAATGAAAAGTGTGCTTCTACTTGAAATTTTGTTTAAAATCTTAATTTTAAGGCTTGAATAAGTTGTGTAAGGTCGTTTTAAAACTACTACGTCTTTACTCGAATTTAAATTTCCAAATTGAAATATACACAATGGAAATATGCAACTATAGTGCATATATATTTGATTTTACCTGGCATTATAAGCTAAACTTAAATTTATGATACACATATTTTTAACTAAAAATTCGAGACTCTAGAACTCAAATCATATATGCTTTTGATAATTTCACTTAACAAGGACTCCATCAACAGCGTCCCCAGAAGAAGAACGCACCTTCTCCGGTTCCCTAACCCTAACAGAAAACTTAATCACCCCAGTGCGCTTCCCTTGCCAATCTCTCAGCCCGTAACTCAGATCCTGGAGGTCCTGCTCCGCCACCGCCACGCCGAGGAAATCGGATACCGCTATCCTCGCGATCCCAACGTCCTTCACGCTCGACGCGTTCTTGCACTTCACCACCAGCGTGATGGACCTCGCGTGCACCGGCACGTCCACCACTACCGTCTCGTTCCACGACGGGTTGCCGCCGTCTACCGTGGCCGTGGCCGTTTCGTAACTGGCAATGGACTCCGCTTGCACAACAACGTAGAGTCTATGAGCGGCGTGCCTCCAGTCCCCGTGGAGGTCCTCCAACGATAGAACAGTGAGGTCTAGGGTTCTCTTGAGAGGGTGGCGTGGTTGCGGTTCTGAATCCATGTGAGAAAGGTGGGAGAGAATATGGTTAGAAGTTGGTGTATGGTTTTGTGAATGTGAATGGAGGAAGGGAATGAAGGGAAGGGTTGGTGTGGTTCACAAATATAGGGCTTCGAGGGCATATCCTTTTTTACATGGTTGAATTTTTTTTTTTTTTTTTTTTATAATAAAACCAAGATGGTTTTACATGCATGCTAGCAACTCATTTTTCCTTAAACAATATATGTTTCATGAAGCAACTTTCCTCGTCTTTTAAGAATTGCATCTTTTCCGATGAACAGGTTAATTAGAATAAATATAAATATTTTATTGTGAGTTTTGCAGATGAGTTATTCATAATTATGTATATAAGTAATTTTTTTAATTTTCAATAATTATTTTTAATTTTAAATAACTTAAATAAAAATAAAATATATAATAAAATATTTATTTTTATTTTTAAACCATTTTTATTAACTATCCTCGTTTGAGAGGTCGTAACAAAAATACATTAAAATTATTATAATATTAAAAATAAATTAAAATTATTATTATAGTATTAAAAGCGAATTGTTTTTGAAAATAGAATGTGTTGATTCTCCAATATCATTTCTCGAAACGTGGGCTCCACTGATTGCGTGATGGGGTGGTACTACCAAGTGACAACTTTCTAAAAATGCTGCATGCTGGCGCGAATATTTATTCTTTTTTACTTTTTAATAATAATAGTTTTATAATTAAAAGATAATCTCCAATTATAAATTTTAATTTGAGTTCTTCACTCGTTGTTTTAGTCCCTACCGTAGAATTAGAAAACCCACATTAAATTTTGGTCCAATGTTTTAATTCATTTTGAATTCTTATTTAAATATGTTTTAGTTTGAGATTATATTTTGATCATTTATTTATTTTTAACTTTAAAATTATTTTTTTACTTATAATTATTGTGTAATTTCCCGTTAACTGTTTATGTCTATCATTTCAAATAATTACTATTATGATATAATAATATTAATAAATAATGTTTGTAAAAGAATTTAAAATATATAAGTATATATGATTTATATATTAAAAAATAGATATTAAACTTCTCAAGACATATACTATATATTAAATAGTTATCAAGGTTTAATCCAATAAAATTTATATTCACGGATTTATATTAAAAATGTTACATAGATTAATAATAGTTTTAAGTGTGTGTTTTATTTTATAAATTAATTTTATAAATTTGAATCAGATTTTCAAGTAAATAGTTAGATAATTTTAAATAAACACGTATTCATATTTTCAACCAATTTATTTATAATATGTACTTGATTTTCAGTTTATGAAATGTTAATAACACTTAAGTATGCTAATAAATATAATTTCCTAAAAAATAATTTCTCTAATGTCTTTGAAGATGAGAGTTATGTATCATAATCTTCTTTGTGATATGACTAATATCAAAATAATAAGAATTAATATAAAAATAATAAAAGGTGATGTATATTAGTGATATGAATAGTTATTAAAAAAATGTTATATTTCTATAATTAGTTTTAACTTTTAAGCACAGATTGTTAATAAAAGAATAGTCATATCATATCTAATATGTTAGTAATGATTCTTTTATAATCGTTATTGTATGTTATATACGATGAAATAATCATTATTGATGTTTTGTTATATTTCTCTTTCACTTGTTCAACCTTTTATTTATTTTTCTCTCTTTTCTTCTTCTTTAGCTCTCTTTTCGTATGGGTTATGGGTCGTTCACCGTATTTAGTTAAAGTTATATGGTATGTTCACATCTTCTCACTCTTTCCTTCGACTCTCCTTATTTAATTGTCTCTTTATTTTTCTTTTGTAAAACATCTCTTTCCATCACAAATTTCTTCAACGTGTAAGATAAGTATGAAATAAAAACAAGTATAAGATGGAAGACGAGTATGTGAAAAACAAATACAATGTGGATGTGTTGGTTTTGAAGTATGTCTTACATCAAATTTGTCATGTTAGTAATAATAAAATTGTATTTATTATTATTTATTTTATTATCATATCTATTTAATTTATATGATAAGGTCCTTATTGAAAATTAAAGATTTATTATTATAATAAAGATTATAATAACAAAAAATAAGTCTTACATATAATTTTGATCTAAATTATTCTTGATTATAAGATTATTGAAGATAAGACATCTTTAGTTCACATAGATCAATATGTAGTCTTTATCGAATAAATCTTAATCGATCACATTTTTTAAATTACACATATAAATTATGCATACGAAGATATGACTATTGAAATGATTCAAAAAAGAATTTCTAATGATTAATATTACCTTTGAATTGTCAATAGAAAATTATTTTGAAGAAATATATATATAATTTCCTTAAACTTCATATTATCATAGTAATTAACAAGTTATTTATTATATTTTAGTATCAAACCCCTAATACTTGGTGATGTTAATTGAATGATTATTAGGTATGATTAAATTTTTGTAGGATTAACGATTAATCAAGAAAGAATCCATTAACTATGGATAATTAGTTTGAACTCTATAGAAATAATAAAGACCTTGGATAAGGTATTATGAATGAAAGAAAAAAAGATTTCTTAATTCATTCATCACATATTAATTTATTAGAATTTGACAATTATATTGTATTCTATAATTAACACAGAGATGTAAAGATGGAAAAAAATATTATATTAATCTTCTAATGTTTCTAAAGTAACATATACTTCATATATACTACCGAATCATTAAAAAGTATTGTTGAATGTCAACCTTGATTATAGTAAATTAATGAGTTAATTTACTACTAATTGTTAATATACCTACCTACTGTGCAACAAGTGTTTATACAACAAAATTGATCTCGACGTGGATAAATGTACAAGAACTTCATCCGTTTGAAGAAGATAATTTTAGCACTGTCACGTCCTCCCAATGTAAATTTTACATGATTTTTTTTTCTTCTTTATTGCCTAGTATGTATAATTTAACCAACAAAAGTTCTATTATTTCCATTGCGCACGCTAAAAAAATAAATTTGATCCTTCAATTGATACCAGAACGGTTATTTGTGGCTAATATATGCTAATAATTAGTTATTGTTGATTTTAGAATCAATATATTTAATTGTGATTAATCGCAAGAATTGCTCATATTTAATAATTATTCTTATTTTGGAAGTCTTGATGATTTTATATATATATATAAATAAAACGTGACACATAATGAATATATAATTTATTGTTATTGTTGTTGTTACTGATAGATGCGGTATGACATGTATTTGAGTTCGTTGTGTTGTATATGTCAATTTATTGGTGATTAAGTCAGATTTTAGTGAATATGGCAAAACATGATATTTATATACATTCTACTACAAGAAGTATCATTCTACTACAAGTATCAAATGGAAATTATGTTTTGTTCGTAATGTCAATCTTAAGGGTGATAAGTAATGCCATTAATTTAGTTAGTACAATGATACATAAATGAGATTTGTATATTACAGTGACTAATTATATGATTGTATAAGTATTTAATAATCTATATATCATATAAATATTAATAATAATTTTATAGGATGAAATTTAATGTTTTGAAAATATTAATTTATTTTTACTTAGTTCTAAAATATTTTGTATAAGATATATTCTATTTAAGAACATGTTACTTATTAATTTCAAGAGATGACCAGATTAGCAAAAGACTTGTAATTAAAAGGATTACCAAGCCATTTTATGTAATTTTTAATTATTTTTTTTCATGCCTAGACAACCAGACAAACAGGGCGTTACTTGTTATTATTGTGTATAAAATTGTACGAGATACATTTGTCTTAAAGTGTGTACAAGAGATGGCTTGACAACCAAGTGTTTATTCATATATTTTTAAGACATTTATATTATATTTTCACGAGGAAAATTTGTTATTATAGTAAGCGAGAGTATTTTTATTTGTGATAAATATTTTTAATATGTACTGACATATTTATTTTTATGATATATATGTCTACTTTGTTATTGCATTTGATACTTGTTGATGAAAATTGGTGGATGACAACTTTTTAGATTGATATCAATGTCTAAGAATTGTTCTCATGCAAGAGAAACTTACCAATATAATAAAAAAACTTGTTGTGTTTGAACTAAAAGATAAAGAAGATGTTAGCACTTGTAACAAGTACTTAGATGACTTAGAAGACTGCATGAATGAAAAATGGATTATGTTAGCATCAATGAGTTCAGAACTTCAAAAACAACATGAGAATATGGATCCACTTATTATCATTTGATAAACATAGAATATACGATTACAAATACCGTATCATGCCATGATTCTACATGATTAATTTTTTCCATATTTAGCTTGGCATGATAGCGATGCACAGTGATGCACATTAATGTCATATCTGTTAATAGACAAATTTAGGATACCGACTATAATGGTTAGCGCAATTATAGCCTAGAATGTTTCTGTATTTCATGTATATATTGTGCTATCATATTCAATACAAGCCAAGGGTTTTTGGAAATATTTTTATCATGGTATCAGAGCAAACCAAACTCTGATATCCAACAGCCCGAGAACACAGTCGTACTTCTAAAATGGCAGAGAGAGGAGAGACGGTGAAGAAAACACCATCGCCATACGATCCGAGTGCCGGTGATAATCCTGGAAATGTGATTACACAGGTACAATTACGAGGAGAGAATTACGAGGAATGGGCAAGGGCCGTGAAGATATCTCTCGCGGGCTCGAAGGAAATGGGGTTTCATAGATGGAACTCATAAGGAACCCGAAGAAGACACATCCGAGATAGAAGATTGGTGGACAATTCAATCGATGCTTGTATCTTGGATACTAAACACTATAGAACCTAGTTTGCGTTCCACTTGTTGCATACATGGAAAACGCAAAGGACCTATGGGATGACATCAAGGAACGATTCTCGATCGTGAACGGACCAAGAATCCAAGCAGCTAAAGTCGAGTTGGCGTAATGCAAACAACAA